TCCCACATCGGGCTCCTTGCTCATCGGGGAGCCTGCTTCTCCCTCTGTCCACATGAAGGTAATCATTAATTCCTTCTTTTTGCCTGGGAACTTACACTCCTTGGAGCCCTGACACATCTGTCCCTATTTCACAGTAACAGATGCATATTCTCTTAACTGAAGTCAAAGAACTATAGTTCAGTGTCGTATTTTAAACTAAAGGCACATCTATTGATGCCTAGCCAAGCACTGGTTGGTAGGCTGGGCTATCTCTACTATTGCTAGAAAACTAAAACCATATAAAAAGGTTCACTATTGGGACGCCTGGGTGGCTCAGTTGGTTGAGCAGCTGCCTTCGGCTCGGGTCGTGGTCCCAGCGTCCTGAGATCAAGTCCCACATCGGGCTCCTTGCTCATCGGGGAGCCTGCTTCTCCCTCTGCCTCTGCCTGCCATTCTGTCTGCCTGTGCTTGCTCTCTCTCCCTCTCTCTCTCTCTGACAAATAAATAAATAAAATCTTTAAAAAAAAAAAAAAAGAAAGAAAGAGGAGATACAATCATGTGATTTGGTTTTTTTTCTAAGTAGACTCTACAACCAATGTGAGCCCAACGGGGTACTTGATCCCACGACGGTGAGATCAAGACCTGAGCTGAGATCGAGTCAGACACTTAACCCACTGAGCCACCCAGTGGCTCAGCACTTCTGTGCTTTAACCGCTGTTTCCATCTACACCGGGGAAGGGCAGATTTAAACCTTACGTCACCAAGCTGTTCTCAGTGGTCCTGGAGTTGAAGAGCAACACACAGTTAAGACAATGGTTGCAGTTTAACTTGCTCTGTATTGTTGGAAACAAGTTTTTTTTTTTTTAAGGTTTTATTTATTTGACAGAGACAGAGCAAGAGAGCATGAGCAGTGGGGAGGGCCAGAGGGAGAGGGAGAAGCCAACTTCCTGCTCAGCAGGGAGCGCAACACAGGGCTTGATCCCAGGACCCTGAGATCATGACCTGAGTAGAAACCAAGAATCAGACACTCAACTGACTAAGACACCCAGGCTCCCCTGATATCTTATGCTTTTATACAGGACAGATTCATACGGAGGATGTATGGGTAGAGATTTGTAACTGTAGATCTGTTGGAAATTGTATTTCCTAAAAACAATTTAATTTTTTATAGCTTTTTTTTTTTAAAGATTTTATTTATTTGTGAGAGAGATAGACAGAGATAGAAAGAGAGAGCATAAGCGGGGAGGAGAGGGAGAGGCAGGCTCCCCACTGAGCAAGTAGCCTGATGCAGGGCTTGATCCCACTGGGATTATGACATGAGCCAAAGGTATTCACTTAATTGATGGAGCCACCCAGGTGCCCCCTGAAAAAAGAGTTTTGTTTTTTGTTTTTTAAAAATTTATTTGACAGAGAGAGATCACAAGTAGGCAGAGCAGCAGGCAGGGCGGGGGGGTGGGGGGAAGCAGGCTCCCCCCTGAGCAGAGAGCCCGATGTGGGGCTCGATCCCAGGACCCTGAGATCATGACCTGAGCCGAAGGCAGAGGCTCAACCCACTGAGCCACCCAGGCGCCCCTGAAAAAACAGTTTTAATAAAAACTATCTATTGGGGCGCCTGGGTGGCTCAGTCAGTTCAGCATCTGCCTTCAGCTCGGGTCATGATCCTGGGGTCCTGGGATTGAGCCCAGCTTTGGGCTCCCTGCTCGGTGGGAAGACTGCTTCTCCCTCTTCCACTCCCCCTGCTCATGTTCCCTCTCTTGCTGTCTCTCTCTGTCACATAAATTTAAAAAATCTTTAAAAAAAAAATAAAAATAAAAATAAAATAAAAACTATTAATAAGAAAAATATTTCCATTTTGGAAAAAAAAGTCATGTTCCTAAAGTCTTATCACACTTTATTTTTAACAAAATACCTTACAAATTAGTTTTATTTTGACATTATGGCTGATTCTAAAGAAACCAACAGGTTGACTATCTCCAAGCCACTTTAACAGTGATGAGGTTAATGAAGGGTAGTGGGAAGGCAGGTAGGGACAAGTGTCCTCCCGCCCACCCAACCAAGAGGAAACAAGCGTTAAAAGGATTTTACACCCTCTGGAAAGAGCCCTCCACTCTTTCCCAGCTGATGACAAAAACCTGATTGGGCGACAGGCACAGGGAGGGTCAATCAGATTAAAACAGCCTGCCGACAAGACCAGAAACCCCCTAGACTTAGAAACTCTGGAAGCAGCCCTCTCAGGTCCCCTCCCTCTTTGGGAGCTTGTACTGTCCATCACTCTGAACTTTGCTTGGCTGCCCAGCACTCTTCACCCGGTCTACCTCTTCATTCTTCCAAGCAGCATGACCACAACGGCAGGCACTGAAGGAAAAAAATCCTGCAGCGTGAGCCCAGACGAGGCCCTCCCAAGCACCGAGACAATGAGAGGACACTGAACGCCCCTCAGTCACGCTGCCGAACGGCGTGTTCTACACACGATCACAGCAACAACAACTAGCGTCACTTACAGAAGGATCAAGACTCAAATATGTTGCAATTTCTAATACCCGCTATGGTATTAATGTTATGTAAACTTTAACTTAAGTCATTAAATCACCTACAGACAGTACTAGTCTCTCCAGTTAACTCAGAATATTTGGTCCTAGACACCTGGGTGGCTCAGTCAGTTAAATGTCCAACTCTTGATTTCGGCTCAGGTCATGATCTCAGGGTTGCGAGACCGAGCCCACATCGGGCTCCACACTGAGCTTAGGGTCTGCTTAAGGTTCTCGCTCTGCTGCCACCCCCACCTTCTCTCACCCAAGTGTCTGGTCCTCACAGCCATGTAAGAGGACCGGTTCGGACAACACGCACCCACTGGATGTCCATGCCCTGGGTGAGCTGCTCCAGCGCCACGAAGTCCTCCTTGTTGATCACCTCTTTCCCTGTGCTCGTCTTCCACCCATTCTTCTTCCAGCCTTGAACCCAATTCGTGATCCCTATGAGAAATGCACTCACAGTCCGCTGAGCTTGCATGTCCCGGTCTCTTCCTCCCTAGACTTCCCCCTTCCACCTGCTCTACTCGTCTTCGCAGTGCCGTGGACTTGCCGCTGGCCCACACAGGCTGTACTCCGGCCGGGGGCACACACCCTGCACACTCCTCTGCTTACCCCTCGGACTGGACTGGTGCTGACCCACAGCTCCCAGCTTAAGAGGACACCTCTCTGCTTCTTCAACCCCCTTCCCGTGTCCTAAACATGATTACTTCTCAAAGGAGCCGTCAGCACGCCACCTTCAGTTACTTATGCGTGTTTACACTCGAGGGACTACGAGAGCAGGGACACAGCTACCCGCTGCCCTATCTTAGGAGCCTGGCAAAGACATGTCTATGTGGCAAACTCCAGAGCAGCAGATCTGGGCTCCAGAATCCCCGGTTTTCTCTTTATACCGGACAAACCAACGGTTGTCTTCATTCACCATTTGGGTCCTGCCCTGATACACCTCCCACAGGAGAAGGAAATACCTATTTTCCTTCATGTTTACCAGGAAACACCAGAAGTAAAATGTAGAAGCTTACCATTTATAGTAAACATACTGTCCGTATATAGAACCAGCTTCTTGATGTTTTGAGCCTTTGCTTGCTCGATGGCTTTGCAGGCTGCCTTAAAGAAACAGGTCAGTCATCACGCTACAGAAGGTGTCCGATTTTCAACATTACCGAAGTTCAAAATCACTTCGCTATTTAAACATTCTTTCTTTTTCTGTGCTAAGTGTAATGATTATACGCTCTGCATGAAATAATGCCACACATACGGTTCTGTTTGTGCATCTATGTGAAATAACTTTTAAAACTTTTCTGGAAAATTCCTATCCATCAGAGTCACTAGTAACCCCAAACCAAGTTTCTTCTGGACTTTGAGTATCCTGTGCGCACACAGTGTACGCGGTTCACTGCTACGATGGTCTTACTCTCAGTGGGAAATGTGTCTGACAACTTACATGAATTTCTGCTCTTTGGTTGGTCTGCCGCCCGGGAAGCCTAATGCCTATATTCCTGGTTGCAAAACAATACAAAGGAAAATGAAATTAATTAAAAAAGCTAACTTCCAAAGTGATTCCTTAAGCCTCTCAATGGAGGACAGGCTTGATACATTTTTTTGACATATGAAAGCATCATACAAATATACAGCCTTTAAAAATCAAACCAAGAGTACTAGCATTTTATGGAAAAGCACCAAGGGATGGTCGTGTGAAGAATACTGGGCCAGAAATCAGAAGCAAAGTTTTCTCTCTGGCCCTGAAATTCATTAGCGTGGGGTCCTGGGTGAGCACTAAGCCCGCAGACACTCAGGGCCACACAAGCTTGTTGCCTCTTAGAGGGTTTGCAGCTAAAATGAGATCTCAAAGGGAAAGAACTCTATAGACCACAAGTCGAGAGAAATATAAAGTCTTACTCAACAGTTTATATTCCATTATGCCCAGCACTGCTGTGGGCACCTGGAAATGCTGGAGACAAAGCTCAGAGCTGATGTGGCTACTTCACAGGCTCAAATTCGTCTTTTACACGGAATCTGAGGGCTGCCCAGGGTATCTGAATGATCACGCTTTGCATCCCCCTGAGCTCGTGCCTTGTGAAAAACTAGAGGTCACCTCTAAGCTCACACGTCCTCAGAAGAGTCTTGGGAACATGACAGGTTCCAAGTCTGGCAACCTTGGACGTCCTTGCCAGAACCATCCCGCAGGAGACATGTGACTCTCCTAGGGGGCAGGGAAGTCATTTTGGTAGAAGATGTCATCAGTGAGACACAGAAACTCCCCTAGATTCAGGTGAAGAAAGCAATGCTGAGGTAATTTACATTCTGAAGAACAAGGCTATCAGTGTCGACACGAACCAAAGCTTGTTCCTGTGCAAACTCTGCCAAAGCTAACCAAATAATCAGCAGATCGCATGTCATTCCTTGACAAGTTTTAGAATGTGATTCACTTACACTTGAAGCCTTTTTTGTTTACTCACAAAGGATGGCCGGGCCCCCAGTAAACACCGATGCCTGCTCGTGCCCTCCTCCGCCCGTTGCTGGAGCAGCAGCCATCAGTGTAGACGACAACAAATTCTCCTAAAAGAGGAAGTTTCATGAGTGGCACTGGAACCAAAGCACAAAAAACTGAGATTCATTTAACAAATTCACTAAGCTTGAATTCACATTTTAACTGAGAGAGTATGTACAATGTGCTCTATATTCTCTATCTAGAAAAACATTATCAGTCCCTTATAAAAGGGCCCTCAACACCTTTTGATTAGCATGCCCTCCTACCTTGGATATGGCAATTTAAAGGTAAATTAAAGGTAAAGGCAGGCATTTTGTTAACTCAGAACCTGCTGCTGTTGCATTCCCCACTGCAGAACAGGGTCGCCATCCCTCTCCCCACGGGGAGCAGGGCTCACACTCACTCCCCGGAGCCGTCTTTGCAAACAAGTAGTGTCTTGGCATGATAAGGACCTGTCCCCCAGAAGGTCTAGTCCTCTGACAAATGTTGGTCTAATTTTTTTTTTTCTTAGTATATTTGCCTCTAATAAACTACGGTCCCCTGTGTTTGCTTTGTTCCATCAAGACAGAGGCTCAGGGGCACCTTGGTGTCATGATTATTATACGGAAAACTCAAAAATCCAAGATATATACCCATATAAGAAAATGTGTCTTTGTCAACTGAAGGCACGGATCCCGTGGTCTGTCTTGCCTGCTTTGCACAGGGCTCTGCGTTTTCATCTCCGTCCGAGGGCTCACGGAGTCGCTTGTTGGCTTTCGCTTGTGATTCTTGTTCATGCTTGTTTTCTGTCTCTGAAAGATCAAGTCTACTCAAAAAGCAGGAAAAAATGAACATAACACAAAATGCTTAACAATCCAGAAATTCAGTATGTGACTTAGTATCACTGAATCAGACTTAAGTGTGCTCTGCGAGCCTACAAAGAGGAAATCGCTTAGGACAGTCCACACCGTGTCAGATTTTCAAGTCCTATGAGATTACTCTGAAGTTTCCCCAAGCTTGACAAGGGCGATAGGAACACAGGAGCAACATCTCTGTCAAAGCAGAAACCTGGTTTTGACAGAGATAGTAGATAGCAAAGGTTTGAATCCCACTGGGACGGTGGGCAGTTTGACAACCGAGGGACTCTGTCCCCAGGAAGAACACAAGGACTCGAACTTTGTAGATGCGATTACTCTAGGTACGTCAACTCCTTCCATGCCAAGTTGAGAACCTCCGGGAAAGCTGAGAGGGCATGGGTAACTGGACCTTAAGTGAGGAGACAGTGGGCCACACTGAGAAAAGGACGCAGAAGCCCAACAGCAGAAGGGACTGGGCCCCTTCAGAGTGGCGGCTACAGAGCGGTCCTTCAGGAGCTCAGCCGTGGGATGCAGGGTTAACCGCAGAGGCCTCTCACATACTCCCTCAGGTTATGTGGAGCAGCTCTTCCTACATTCTCGCTTTGTGGAGTGGGAACAGAGGCACGGAGAAGCAACCCAGCTTATCCGCAAAACCACCACCAAGCCCCACACTACAGAATTCACTTTAAGCTCATCCCTAAAGCAGGGACGGAGAGATGGGGCTCCAGTACTGACTGAACCTTACCACATGGGTCCAAGCCAGGACGTCCTGCCTGCAGTAGCTGCTCCACGCACACCTGTCAGAAGACTGCTACAGGTCATCCAGGCAAAACCTGACCGGAGCCCCTACAGAGGGCAATGTCTGGGTTTCCACTCTGCTGTATTTACCTTTAAAATATTCCTCTGGCGGGGGGGTGGGTGCCTGAGTGGCTCAGTCGGCTCAGGTCACAACCTGGAGTGCAGGGACCTAGCTCGGCATCCGGCTCCCTGCTCAGTGGAGAGTCTGCCTCTCCCTCTCCCTGCAGCTCCCCCTGCTTTGCTCTCTCTCTCACTCTCGCTCTATCTCAAATAAATAAACTCTTGAAAGAAAAATATTCCGCTGGGAACTCTACGTAAGTAAACCCCAAAACACAAGTACAAATCAAAGGGTAATTTTGTAGAAGTTTAATACCAATACAAATACTGATTTTATTTGTAATAACATAAAAAGTTAAACTGGAATCCAAGTTTTTAAAGGTCAGACAAGACTTTGAAGGAAAAGGAGCCCATTGTTGTCAGATAATTTTCCCTTCACAAAACTGGGTTGGGTAAGTTAACCCCAAATCAGTTTACAAAAATCATGGTAACTGCCAAATAGCTCAAGAATCCCAGGATAAAAATACACGTCACAGTAAGAGAAAATCTGGGAAAGGGGCTACCACTTCTGCTTCGACACAGTTTGGAACAGTAAAGATGTTCGATCCCAATTTATATATACAAGTCACTAACTCGGAGATCTCTGAACTTTCAGAAAGATGATTCATAAAGAACTATCCTGCCTTAGGACTGCGAGTACCTGATAAACAGAAACATACTTCCAGTGCAAGAACTGAAGTACGAATCAATGACTGACTGGTTAAGACAAAGGAGCAGTGAGAAGGACGCATTAAGAACCCAGCTGAGACAAGAACCACACTTGCACATTTGTTCTCTGTCCCAAACTGGTTCCTCCACCGGGGCAGAAAATGTTAACGGTCACATCGCAACGTGCTGAGAAGCTGCTGGGCAGACAGAGGGTGCAGCAGATGCACTGAGTGAGGTTCTGCCCTGCTCCTGCCCCGCCTGGTCACGCAGGGTGGCTTCCTAAACGCGAGTCCTCTCTTTGACCAGCACTGTCACGGCCTCCGAAGGAGCCGCTGTTCAGAGCCGGCGCATGTCAGTGGGACTGTGGAGTGCCTGGCCGGAAAACACGGATTCAAGCTAGTCACTCGTCTTAATCCACCAGTAAAAGAATCCGTGAGTCAAGCTAATGAGACAACTTACCCCCGAACATGGGGGTCTGAAGGCCCGCGCAGTCGACAATCGGTATCATCTGTGACTCCTCAAACACTTAAGGGCTACTGATAGCCGGCCGTTCCCTGGAAGGACCACTGGGAACGGCCGACTCACACGTGTAGGTCTCACGTGCCGCGGCCTCACAACACAGTACCAGAGAACAGACAATGTTAAGGGGCGCCTGGGTGGCCCAGTGGATTAAGCGTCTGCCTGGAGTCGCGATCCGGCCATGTTGGGCTCCCTGCTCGGCAGGGAGTCAGCCTCTGCTCCTTCCTCTGCGCTTCCCCCTGCTCGTGACTGTATTCTCTCTCAATAAATAAAAATCTCTAAAAAAGAAAATGTTAAGAAAATCCTAAGGAAGGACACCTGGGTGGCTCAGTCGCTGGGCGTCTGCTTCCGGCTCAGGCCATGATCCGGAGTCCTGGGATCGAATCCCACACCAGACTCCTTGCTCGGCAGGGAGCCTGCTTCCCCTCTGCCTGCCCCGTCCCCGCTTGTGCTCGTTCTCTCTCCTTGACAAACAAACAAAATCTTAAAAAGAAAAAATCCTAAGGAAAATTTATAACAAATGCATATTTTATGACGAACGTAATACAATGAAGTCCACTAAAGTTTCCTCATGCAGCTCAAACTCATGTTGTTCAGAGGGCGATTATATTTTAAAGCAGTCACCCCTCGTTCTGTATATTCGATGCTCCTACACTGAGGTTTGACCTTCAATCAACTGTACTTCCTGCAGCAGGTGCAAGCGTAGGAGATCCCGACTGTGCAAGCCCGGCCCAGGAAGGAGGAAACACCGTGCCCGCGCCTGCGGGAAACAAACTACATCCATGCCTTTAGCACTGGAGCGCATTCAGTCGGCAACAGAACAAGCACTTTTTGAAAGACAGAATGAGGGGCGCCTGGTGGCTCAGGTCGCGTGCGATGGAGGGCTCCCTGCTCAGCCGGGGCCTGCTTCTCCCCTGCCTGCCGCCCCCCTGCTTGGGCGCTCTCTCTCGTTCTCTGACAAATACATAAATAAAATGTTAAACAACACATTTAAAGATAAAAATAAACGGAAGAACTGCGTAGAGGAGGACCCCCTACCTCCCCAGCTGTCTCACGCTGTTCCAACAGACACCGCTAAGCCCATCTGCTCTCTGCCTGTCTCCTCCGTGAAACGGGGTTTTTCCCGTGTTGGGGAGACAGCCGCACACATCGGGCGAGCAGGGGTGCGCGAGGCCCCGGGGACGAGGGCAGACGGTACCTTCCGCGCCGCCCGGGCTGGCGGGCTTCCCGACGAAGGCCCAGGCCTCCTCCTCCGTGGCAAACTTCTTAAAGCGCGCGGCCGGGAAGCGGTCCACCTGCGCTCTGCATTCGCTCCTGCAACAGAGCGCCGGGTTACCGCCCGCCTCCCGCACCGGCCCCCGACGGGCCGCTTCCGGGTCGGGAACCGTGTGACTCGGGCTGGGCTGTCGGCTCCGCGGGGCCTGCAGTCCGGTCCCTGCCCCCCTGCACCCTGCGGAGCCCTGTGCCGGCCGCGGGGCGCCCGCACGCCAGTGTGCTCCGTCTCAAACACACTAGAAGTGCCGGGCGGGGACAGGTCTGAAGAGGGGTCCCGTGAACCCTTTCCGTACAGCTCAGGGGCGCCTCCGTGAAGCCTCCGCTCGTGCGGCCCCAACACGTGAACGCAAGCCCGGGCCTCTCACCGAGCCCGGCAGCCCCCGACCCAGCGGCGACCCCCGCAGGGCGCAAACCCAGCTCCAAGGGCCGTTCCAGGGATCCGAGTTTGGCCCGGGAGAGGTGACCTTTCTAAGGACAACGGCGGGGCGGGGCCGGGCCAGGCACTGCCGCAGTCGGACTACGTGCAGCCACCGGGGAACGTCCCCTGACACACACCGGAAGGGTTAGGCGGGGCCCCGGGCGCGCTCAGGCTCCAGGTGGCCTTTCCGACGCCGCCCACACAACGAAACCGCGTCGGGGCCGGCGGCCGGGACCTGTGAGCCCACGTCAGCGGAGGCCGGCGGCGGCGGGGCTCCCGGGCGCTCCACCCCAGGCCGCAGGCCGCGAGCCCGGGGCCAGTCCGGAGAGCCGCCCGCGGCCGCCGCGGCCGCCGCGGCCGCCCCGGCTCGGCCTCGGAGAGCGCGGCCCACTCACCAGGTCTGGAAGACCCCGGCCTTGCGGCCCCTCCTCACGGCATAAAACATGCTGAGGCCGCTGCGGCCGCAGGTGCTGCAGCGCACGGCGGCCAAAGCAACGCTGCGCGCCACGCCCAGAAGCCTGGTCATCGCCCACAGCCGGCCATCGTCCCGCCGCTTAGCTTCGCCGCTCGCGCCTCCACCACACAGACCGAACTTCCGGCGACGGCGCGGAAAGATGACGCGCGACCCCGCCTGAGGGGCGGGGCCTGGGGGGAGGGACTAGGGCCCGGTGCGTTTCCGGCTCAGTTTCCTGGAAGTCAGGGAGACAGTCGGGTCTGGGCGGTCCCGGAAGGGATGGGATCTACGAAGGTGGGTGGGGACTAAGGTAGGGTGGGCGGGGGCGGTGAGTGGCAGGGTCTGGGGAATGTGGGCGGGGCAGTGCCGGGTGGGGGCGTGGTCGGGGCGGTGTAGGCGAGAAGGTGGCACTTGAGGGGCGGGGTCTGGGGCGGTTCCGCGTGAGGGGTGGGATCTAGGCGGAGGGGTGGGGGCAGGGCCGCGCGAGGGGCGGGACCTGGGCAGCGTGGACGGGGTGGGGCCGAATGGACAGCCGTGCCCCTCCTTGAGGGGCGGGGTCTGGGCGGAGTGGGAGGGCGGGGCAGCTGGACGCTCCTGCGCTCGCCGCTCGGCGTCCCCCCGGCGGTTTGCCGGCCTGTCCGGGTCCCTCGGCGCGCAGTCCGGGCTGTCCAACCGAAGGAATAGGTGGCTTTCCTCCTAACTGCCGTAGAGGCCGGAGGACTGGCGCCCGGCGATGGAAGAGAGAGCCGAGGCCGGAGGGAAGGGGAACGCCCCACCCACGCGGGTGCGTGACCGCGGGGACGTCAAAACCCAGTGCCCTGGGACCCAGGGAGACAATTTAGTTGCAAAAGCAATTTGTTAGCGTCTCCCTGTTACTTGACTCTTTGCTCTGTAAGCAAAACAACTTCTTCGAAAAGCCCTGTCCACTGACAAGCCTCCGTGTTCCAACGACCCTAATTTCCTCCGGGTGCTCAGCCGGGGAACCTCACCCCACACCTGCCGTCCTCGGCCCAAGCCCCGGGAGGCACGGCTGAGTGAGCCAGGCTGAGTGCGGGCATCCGCCGGGACCGGCAGGCGAGGGGGAGCCGGCAGCGCAGGGCGGACTCGGACAGGGAGACTGCGGGCAGCGGGCGGAAGACGGCCTTGAAGGGCGGAGAGTTCGTTCAGGTGCATTAGGCAGAGAGCGGGAAGAAGGGGCAGCAAAGGGGAGACGGACCTTGCTGTGGTCAGGTGTGTGTCTGTGAACTCAAAGAACATCCATTTAAAAAATTTCCTCTTTCGGGGCGCCTGGGTGGCTCAGTGGGTTAAGCCTCTGCCTTCGGCTCGGGTCATGATCCCAGGGTCCTGGGATCGAGCCCTGCATCGGGCTCTCTGCTCAGCGGGGAGCCTGCTTCCTCCTCTCTCTCTGCCTGCCTCTCTGCCTGCTTGTGATCTCTGCCTGTCAAATAAATAAATAAAAAATCTTAAAAAAAAATTCCTCTTTCCTCATTTAAATTTAAATGGGCTACAGTCCATTCCTCGATTCTATTTTTATTGCACTTCTGGATAGCCTCTTAAAAAGTCCCGCGGCACCTGGCTGGCTCACTTGGAAGAGCGTGGGCTTCTTGATCTCTGGGTTATGAGTTCCAGCCCTATGTTGGGTGTAGAGCTTACTAAAAAAATAAATAACCTTAAAAAATAATTTAAAAATTGTCCCTAAAAGTCATTAATGGTTGATCATGATATCTCTTCCCCTGTAGCTGTGAAGCCCGGAGATGCCCCTGCTCTCAGGGTGACAGCAGCCCCTCTTTTTACTGCAGTTCCTTCTGTCTTCACTCGAGGCCGTGGAGCGCCGGTGGCCGCTGGGTGAGCTCAGGCTACACTTGGGACAATTTATTTCTAGACTTGCTTTCCTCAGAGGCATCACAAGCTCATCCTTTCTGGGGGACAAAATGTTCAGTTAGGGACACAGATGGCACTGGAAAACCTGGTTCCAGGTTAGGAGGCTGACTGGAAGAAGATCGGGGCAGTGGGCTGAAAGCAAAAGTCTTCACTTTAAAACTCTGAGCTGGCAGAGTCAGTCTGCTCTGAAATGCTGACAGTAGTACAGGTTACGGACACAGCTGTGCCCATCGTGTTCCCTTGGGGAGGGGAGGCTGAGCCCCTGTCAATGTGCTGCCCCTCCCCCTGGCTTGATCCTGGAGTCAGATGCACCTGGGACTTTCTTCTCCATGTAAGTGGGCTGGCTGTGGTCCTTTATCACATGGCACTCATCATCCTGCTAAAGTTGTAGGTTATATCTGAATATGTTAAGAAAATTACCCATGTGGCTTTCTATAATTCCAAAACTGTTTCTTCCGGTGTTTCATTAACCAATTACTCATCTGAAAATCTTTCCTATCTTAAACTCTGGCTCCAAGTGTATGTGATTTACCCATCCTGGGCAAACGCTGGCCCATTCTCAAGACGGTACTGAGCACTGGCCCAGAAGTCAGTGAGACTCGACAGCATTCAAAATGAGTGAACTAGGTTTCACTGACACACACAATTATGGATAATTATTAGCAATATGATACTAAGTGAATAAAGCAAGTCCCCAAGTGGAGATAGGACATCCTTTGGATAAATGAAAACATGTACTCCGTGAGTTACACATGCATGCAGAAAGCCATAAATCTAAAGGAAGAGAGGCGTGTCCTCCACGTCAGACATTACCAACATTTGCGAAACGTAAATCACTGCTACTCTTCTCACTTTGGGGGCAGGGGATACGGTTCTGTTTTTTTTTTTTTTTTTAAGATTTTATTTATTTATTTGACAGAGAGAGACAGAGATCACAAGTAGCAGAGAGGCAGAGAGAAGCAGGCTCCCTGCTGAGCAGAGAGCCCGATGTGGGGCTCCATCCCAGGACTCTGGGATCATGACCAGAGCCGAAGGCAGACGCTTAACGGACTGAGCCACCCAGGCGCCCCGGATATGGTTATTTTTAATAAAACATATTACTTATATTAACTTGAAGTGCGTTTACTGTTTTAATGAATAATTTAAAAAAATTTTCTCCATTTTTTGTTCCATGTGGTAAATATCACTAGTCATAACCTACAAAAAAAATTCTCCAAGGTCTTCGATAACTTTTAGAAGTTCAAGAGTCCTGAGGCCAACATCCTAGGAACTGCTGACCTAGAAAATAATTATAGATCAACATAGGAACACATGGAAAATAATATATTCAAACTGTGTGCTTGTAATTCCTGTTTATACTTTGCCTGCAAATTGTATTTTTGAATAAAAATTTCTACCAGTCTATAACATGCTTCTGTAAAACACATTAGGATTTCCCAAAATGTGCAGTTTGGGATAGGTAAGTGTATGAAGCCATCCCTCGCTTTGGAAGAAGCACTTTTGTTCATTAGCTACCTGCAGTGTGCAGACGCCGTGGAGTCACTTTTTACCGTCGGAGCAGATGCTCCGGAAGCCAGCTCTATGTCCCAGGCACTATACCAAGTACTACTCTATGCGCACAGCCATATACGACGACCCTCACGACGCGGTACTAATGTCATCTTGTTTTCCGATGAGAAAGCTGAGGTTTCGAGTGATCAAGTACCTTGCCCACAGCCATGCAGACAGGCAGAGCTGCGGCCAGTACTCAGACCCCAGCCCAGCACCCATCCTGGTAAACCTAAGTCATGGCTCTCAGAGTGTGGCCCTCAGACCAGCCACAAAACCATCACCTGGAGCTTGGCAGCAATGGGAATTCTGGGTCCTGCCCCACAGCAGCAGGGTCGCAACTCTGCCAGCTCTTCGGGGGGAGTAGGGGAAGCGAGGGGGGAGCCCAGCAGTGTGTGTTTTGGCAGCCCCCCCTCCCCGGGGTTGAGGACACCCCTCCCATCATAGCCGGCCGCGCTGCTTCATTTCTGGCGCTCTGTTCACTTCCCACCCCAGTCCTGGTGGACCTTAGGTTTATTTGACAGACAGAGAAGGCAGGCTCAAGGAGCTTTTGATGACTTGCCCAAAGTCACCAACTTAATTCTGGAACTGGAACTTGATCCGCAATCTTCTCGCTGTTAACTTGAAGCTGTGACCAGCATCAGGGAGGAATCCGGGGGCAGTCCGGTGAGAGCAGAAGCCAGCGAGCTCATTTTGCTGCCTTTCATCAAGGAAGAGAGGTGGAGCCCCAGAGCCGGGGTTCGCTCCGTGGGCCTGGCCACTCTGACAGCAGCCCACCAGACTCCATCCCCTATGAGCCACCCATGGGGCACAAGGATCACCTGCTGCATTCAGGATCTTACAGCTCACGCCCTGAGGTCCTGGGATTAAGACAGTCACCCCTAGAAGTCAGGCTCGTCCAGCATCTGGATGAGGTGTGGTTTACCACAAGCGGCAGTTCCTCGTCTCAGTACTCCCGAGACCTCGCGGCGACCCAGTCGGCTCCCGCAGGCATGCGCTCCCCGACAAGGGCACCGGCTCAGGGGCTCTGGGCTCAGGGGCTCTGGTCTTGCGGCAGGCATGGCTGGGTGCAGCTCTGGGTGCCGAGTCCTCCTGCATTTGGACCATACGTCTGAAGCCAACAGGGGCAGCTCGGTGACTGTGAAGACAGAGAAGTCATACTGGAAGTTGCCTTACTTCACTGCGTCATTCCCTGTGATCCCTTGTGTTCTAACTTAGTGAAATGGCTGCGACGGATTTTAGGGGCACCTGGCTGGCTCCGTGGGAGGAGCGTGTGACTCTTGATCTCAGGGTTGCGAGTTCCAGCCCCATGTTGGGTGTAGAGATGACAGAAATAAAAATGAAGAGCAGATTTTAGTTTGTACATTAAATATTTTACTGAATTTCAACGATGCCTTGAAGATTGAAATTTACTCTTTTTAGGGGCGTCTGGGTGGCTCAGTCGTCAAACATCTGCCTTCGGCTCAGGTCATGATTCCAGGGTCCTGGGATGGAGCCCCGCATCGGACTCCCTGCTCGGCGGGAAGCCTACCTCTTCCTCTCCCACTCCCCGTTTATGTTCCCTCTCTTGCTGTCTGTTGATAAAATCTTTAAAAAAAAAAAAAGCAAAAACTAAACCAACAACTTTCTAAGGTTTAAAAAATTATTCTTTTAGATGTTAATGATTGATTTTAGGAGTGAGTTAGGAAGATAATGATGACCACGACATGGTGATAACTGCAAATACC